AAAAGAAGATCCTTCAATTTGGTGGAAGCAGAATTGCAAAGAATTCGTTAAAACTGGCAATGAAGTATCTCTGTGCACCACCTTTCTCAGTGAACTCAGAAAGTGTGTTTAGTGCATCGGGTAGGGTTCTCAGATTTTTTTTCTCAAAATTCAGTACTTTCGGGTTTTTCAGTACACTAGTTTTACTTAAACTTACTTCAGGACGTTAGTTTTACTAAACACACATTACAACAAAAATAAAAATCACATTTATTTTTACATATTTAGGTACATATGTACATAGATATACACTAGAGTGGTTCATAAAAATACTCTTTTTGGTAATTCATAAACCCTACTTCAGAATATTAATTATTTGTGATAAAAAGAGACATGTATTTTTTTTTTTTAAGTTTTTTTAGAGGTCGCGCTGGCCAGTTTTTTATAAAAACGCTGATGTTCTCAATTTTTTTATTTTCTTGACATGTTAAAATGCTACTAAAAATGTCGTTTTTACATATAATTACTCTGGTATTATTGGGGAACATTCCCTTAATTACATACCTGTCTTAGACAGTTAGAAAAACCGACCAGCGCGACCTCTAAGAAAACTTTTTTTTCAAAATAAAAAACACATGTCTCTTTTTTTTTATCACAAATAACAATAATTTAAGGTAGCGTTTATGAATTTCCAAAAAAAAAAAATTTGGACCACTCTAATATACACCCACCAGAATAAGTATCCGTACAGCGTTCTTTGCAAAGTTTTTCGTAATATTTTTTTTTTCATTAATTTTTAACAAAAATATAGTTCATTCTGCATCAAATGGTATATAAATTGATGATTGAAAGTTTTCACAAAATCTAGAAAAATTCGAAAAATTGTCACATGAATTATAAAATTGGATTATAAAAATAAAATAAAAATAAATTTCTGAACTAGATTTTTAAATTTAATCTTTGGGAATCGAGATCCGGAAATCCGGCCGGTTTTGGCTGGTACCCGGCCGATAAGCGGGATAATAGAAAAACGGCCGGTTAAGCCGCTTTCGGGATATCTTCCGCATACCCGGCACATCCCCAATATTAATCAAGTGTGTACATAGTATGTATATAACAGGGGTGGGCAAGGCCGAGGCCGAAAAGAGCCACATGTAAATTCTAAATGCTACAAAGAGCCACAAAAAAAAAAAAATTTAATTTTTAAATAAAATTATTATTAGAAATCAAAAACATTTGAGGGATTCACAATGGTGTCGTAAGTGTCGTATTGTTGTATGTCGTAAACTTTAAAAGCTTAAATAAATGTTTAGAGAACTTGAAACCACAGTCAACTATCTTTTAACACTGCGAAAATTCATAATATGACTTTTCTGGTACTTTGTGAACCACCTTAATATATTTTTAGGCGTTTAAAGTTTACGACATACAACAAAACGACACTTACGACACCGTTGTGAATACCCTAATTAATTTTATTATTATTGTAATGTACGTGAGATATACCTTGTTTATACCTACACAAGAACTGCATTAACACAAAACCGATTGCACTCAACATATATTTCTTTATAGCATTTATACCCCCGTCTTTATAGCACACTCGATAAAGTCGTATTCAAAAGTAAACAAAATCTGCTATTTTTAAACGAAATTTTTTTAATAAATAATTTGCGCGGTTGACCGAAATCATGGTACAATAAAAACAGGTAGAAGCCAATTTGACGTCAAACCTACAAAAGTCAAAGTTTTTGGGAGATTAAAAATAAAAATGAGCGTGTGTAAGCAAAAATAAAAAATTACATTTCACTGGTTGACGTTTTTAAGTAATTTTGAAGTTTATTTTTATTTATTTATTTTCTTTAGCTAAAATTTGTTAACTTGTATGTTGTTTTCTGTTTTCGATTTATGAGTTGCAGTGTGTTTGGAGGGACTTTTCGGCATAAGGGTCTTAGGAACAGCACTTGGCATCAAACGTGCCTTTCCTGTACCTCCCGGTGTATTTGTGAAATGTGCTCCTTTAAAATGTTTAACGCACAGTAAGGCATTTCGAGGCAGCTCTGCCCCACAGCTGCTTCCGCAACGCTCCTTACGCGAAGGACATTGAAGCACGTTAAAAAAATTAATGGTATCTGCTTTATATTTAACACCACATAAAAAACAACATTTTTAACACATACACTAAGCATAAACCGCACAACACTACACAAATTCAAATGTTAATTAAAATTTGTTATTAACGAACATTAAAAAAAAAACAACGATATGACATTCAGAGCGTAACGAAATATAGGAAAAAAAACCAATTGAAGTTTAAAGGTTTGGTTCTCATGACAGCAACGTCATTTTGGCTTCTACCTGTATTTATGTGCCTTGGACCGAAATGGAAACAAACAATAATTGTAATTGTATAAAGAAAACCTTCACTTCACTTCACGTCAAATGAGTATTGCGTGTATACTTGTTTTCTAACTGATGTGAGAAACAAAAAACCGATTTGAAAACAAATTGAAGTCAATACTTTTTTCAATTTCAACGCGTTTTGACATTTAGTTTATGCATCCGTTTTGAATCACAGCGAACTGGGTCAAAGCGCTGTTTATAAACAAGATAATAGATATTAAAAAAAATTCAAAAGATCCCTTTAGTCAAATTTTGAAAATCTGGTTTTACGTCAGTTAAAGCCGTTCGTAACAGTTCTGTTAAATGTTGCTAAGTCAATAGGTACGTTCGTTTAAAATTTCCAGTAAAAAATGTCCAACAGCAAAATTCCGGCGATGTGTTATCTGTTCTCTCACAAGAGGAAAATATGCAAAATAATACGCGCACAGAAAATTTGCAGAAACTTGCAAGCTGATAGAAATTTTGTTTAGATTCAAAAGTACTAAAAATAAAACTAAAAACGTAAGAAAACAAATCCCGAAATCTTATCCTAACATAGTTCACTGACTCAACAAATAATTACTTACTTCTTACAAGTTAAATAAATCGCACTTTACTATTTTAACTTCCAAACCATAAAATGTAATTTAGGGATTTGCGTAAATTCCAACCAGCTGTTTTCGATCAGCTATTTTTTTCTAGGCAAATTGCTGTTGGCAAACATTTTTCCAGCAGAAACTAGCAGCTTCCCCTCAAAATGAAATGTCACTTTGCTCTCTCAATTTATTTATTTTTTTTACTTTTTTATTTTAAAAAGCTGATAGTTTTTATAACTTTCAATAATTATCAGGTACGCGAATGCAACTAATGTGAACGGTATTCTGACTTTACGAATTTCATTGTAGAGTACAACGACTCACAGTTATACGTTGTAACAAAAATTGAAAATATACGGCACACAGCTGTTTTCGACAGCGGATATTTTATATATGGTACTTATTGCCGGAATTCAAGCAATGGCAAAGTTTTATGTTGCATTTCCAGTGCCTTATCTTCTTTTAATTCCAAAAACTTCAACTCTTCTTCGCTTTTCTTAAAAAGGAGTATTTCGGATATTGCAAATTCATTCTCAATTATGTTACATAAAAAAGGGTTTATGAAGTACGAAAACGCACATTTCAATAATTTCAAACCCGCAAACCTTTTTTAAAACTCCGCTTTTAAATCATGTGCAATATTTTTTTCTAGCCATGTAAAATGATCATGATTCACTAATACAATTATAGCTAAACGGTCGCTATTCTACACTTGTTCTAGAAAATTACGCAAACGAAGGTGATGCCCACGAATATTTAGTATGAAGAGTTTTTGGTTTTACTACTAATATCATTAGAAACTGTAGAGTAAGCAACATTCTGCACAAGTAAAGGAGCCGATTTTATGTGTGGAAGCGAGAAGACTGTTTTATTACAAAACCTTTCTATTATTGAATCATGGAAAATGATCATGATTCAATAATAGAAAGGTTTTGTAATAAAACAGTCTTCTCGCTCCCACGCATAAAATCGGCTCCTTTACTTGTGCAGAATGTTGCTCACTCTACAGTTTTTAGTTATATTAGTAGTAAAACCAAAAACTCTTCATACTAAATATTCGTTGGCATCACCTGCGTTTGCGTAATTTTCTGGAACAAGTCTAGAATAGCGACCGTTTAGCTATAAAATAACCAAAAGTGCGGATTGGTAGAACTTTTTTCGCTGATTTCAACGATAAAATTTATTTGGCGCAGGTTAAAAATAAAGAAGATATAAGAGGTTTATTTGCTTTGTTTATTTATATTTTTTATTATCACTTAGTTCTTAAAACCCGAAAATATATTATGATGAAATATGTATATTGAATTACAGATAATAGCTTGTACTTTCTAAATAATATAAATTCACCATTATTCATGCAGTTTATTTCCAAAAAAAGGTTATTTCATGAAAAAATAGCATTTTTTCGTTTTTTAGTGGTTTTGGTTTAAATATATAAAAAACAATTTCAATTATGTGTATCAGCTGAAAGATAAATTGATTATTTTTATGGTGACGTTATTAGTTTTTTAATCGGTTATGTGGTTCACAAGATATTAATATTTTACAAAAAATCAAAAAATTAACTTTAACCTTCTAAAATGTCTTTATATTTTACTTGCGCTAAATAATTTTGGCATGGTTGAAATGAGCGTAAAAAGTTAATCTGCATTTTTCGTTTTTGCATACCTGAACGGTCGGTATTCTAGATTTGTTCCAGGAAATGACGAATAAATTAAATTAAAAATCTATATTTATACGTATTGTTTAGTATTTCCATTAAAAACCAAATATATTGCAAATTCACATCGAATTAATTATACACATTTTACTTCTAATTGTATACTTTGCGTATTGTAGTACCTTTCTACTACCGTTTTCGCAAAAGGCGATCACATTCTTCCCCTTTCTCCTACTTCCAAAATACAAATCTAGATAAAGGAGTGTCAAATTTTGGCTATCACAAATTACACAACCTTTTATTATTGAATCATGGAAAATGATGAAATATGTATTCTTTTTTTTTGAAATCATGAATAAAAAGACGTAGTTAAGCTTCAAAATTTAAAATAATTTGCGACAAATCAAAAACATTTTCATTCTTTCCTTGTTTGAATTGAAGTTTGCATATGCTCCATCATATCGGTAAAGATCATTTCATCTTTCATTCTCCAAATTGCTGGTAATGTTCGATCTCAATTTGCGTATGTGTATCTAAAAAGGATAAAATAAAAAAACAACAATGGAAAAGAATATCCAGAAAAGAAATATGTATTTTCAAAAGTAAAAAGAGCCAAAATGTTCTAAGCAAAAATAAAATAAAAAGAGCCGCACTTTGTCAAGCAAAGAGCCGCATTTGGCTCAAAGAGCCGTGATTGCCCACCGTTGGTATATAAGGAAACTTACCTAAGTTCTTTCTAATACGAAATTCATAACAGAGCAATTTTTTTTACTAAACGGATAAATAGACGAGTTTGTGGGTTGTTTTACATCAGAGGTTCCCAAACTTTTTTTTTCTCGTAGACCCCTTTCAAAAATTTACTGGTTTCGGTGGACCCCCTGCTGATACATTTCTAAATATTCCCAAGGCTCGTAAAAAAATTAAATGTGAAAATTAGATCTAACAATGTAAATTTGCATCGCGGGTGAATTCAAAAACTAAACTCAGAGTGGCCAAAATAAAAGTAAAATATTTTCTTGTGTTCTATTTATAAAAATAATGTGATTACACACTTGTAGAGCTCGTAAATACATCAAAATACTCTCTCGCTCGGAGGAGTTACATTTTTTAAGAGCACTGCGGGCGCTAGCGTTATTTACATTATCTTCACCATAAACTCATCAAATGTTCGGCTCACTCATGACTTTGCACGTGGAGTATATGTAAAATAGTTTATTTGTTTTAATGGCATCATTTTTATTTTTATCGCTCCGAGTTTTAAAGTGAGGCGAAAAATATGTATCACATTTTTAAAACACAAAACTTAAAACATCAAAACGGCTAAGCTTTTTATGCCAAACTTTTAATTCTGAAACTGACAATAGAGAAAAGAACGAGTTTAAAAAAATCGATGACAAATAACCAAGCAAGCAAGAAGCACAAAAAGTGTTCCACCGTCTCATCTTCTTCAAGGCAAGATGGGCAAATGGACTTGTCATTCACGCCTATAAGAGTCAGGTTTTTGTTCAGTGTCGTCTGCTCAATGAGAGCAAAAAATTATATAGACCTTGTAAGATTGAAGGCAACATGAGTTTTGCCCACCTGCATCCCCTCGATGCCTCTCAGTCTTTGCTGAGCGAAGTATTCACCCAGTTTCTGATGGTGGCTTCGATTGCCGAAGGTGGGAGTGCTAAAACTGGTTGCGGACCGAGGAGTGCCTGGTCTGAGCCAACTCTGGCCAAATGATCAGATGTCTCATAATCAGGTACTCCTGAGTGACCTGGCACCCAGAGTAAAGCAACCTCGTTATGTTCACCATCATATTTTAGTCGAGACTTACATTGCCGCACTAGTTTGGAAATACGTAAATAGAGGGCTGTCCAATGCCTTAAGTGTAGCTTGGTTGTCACTGCAATCACGTAAACTCCTTCCTCTCCACCTATGTTCCACCACGTAGTCCATGGCTTTGAGTATTGCAATTACCTCAGCCTGGAAGACTGAAGCATATTCCCCTACAGAAAAGTGAAGGTTATCTCCATTAACTTCGAAAAAGACCTCAGATCATGACCCAGAGTTAGTTTTGGAGCCATCAGTGAAGATTGGACAATGTGTGAGTCTGGTCTCAGCGATGGAATCAAACCAGAATTCAGTCTCAGTGAACTCAACATTATAGAACCTCTTCAAAAAGATAATGGTGGCGTAGTATCCTGTAGCATTGAAGAGACACAAGTGCTTAAATCTCTGCCGCCAGCAATTTTCGCCGTGCCCCACTTATTGTCATACCAGCATCCGGTTCTTTTTCCCCACGTATGAAAACACAAGGTGACGGTAAGAGCAGCAGTGCGTCAATAGCACTATACAACACTCAAACAAATGAAATTAATTAATTAAAGTTAAATAAAGAGGCTATCAAGCAACCATTTTGGTTCTTTACATCGAAACCAGATAAATTTTCGTGGACCCCCGTTTACAACTCATGGACCCCCATATTTTTTCACGTCACCGTGGACCCCCGTCGAGTCTCCCGTGGACTCCTGGGGGTCCACCTGGACCACTTTGGGAATCACTGCTTTACATGCACCTTATGTATTGATTTGTTCCGCTTTATCCAAGTGGTACCCTGGTAAAAGCAACATAAAAAGAAATTGTAGAAAAAAGTTTTCCTTAAAAGCGGTCGCGCCTCGGCAGGCAACGGCAATCTTCCGGTTGCATTTCTGCCTTGAAAAAGCTTCTCATAAAATCCATTTGCCGATAATTAAAAAAAGTCTTAAAAGAAAAGCTTTTATTAGTCGTTGTATATTAAAAATAGAAAAATCTACCCCCGCACCATTTAACGGCAAATTTTTTGATTGAGTTAATCCTTCCAATTTAAGTAATATATGTACGTTCTAATTTAACTAAATCGGGCTATAGATACGGGTTTTCCAAAATTTCTACATAAATTTCCAGTTTCATATCTCTAGCTCATCGGGAAGTAGGTTAGAAATTGATTCAAGATTTGATTACACACAGGTGAAACTTAATAAAAGCTTGTCAAAATAGGATTAACCTCAATAATATATTTTTTTGGGGTTTCACTAAAATCTTTAAGTTCTTGGATTGTATCTCTACCAAAATCCAAGATTTTCGGATATCATTCTTATTCATATACTACACATGTGCATACATACTTATATAATATTATAATAAATCGTTTATATTTATAAAATGTCACCTTGTTTTGTTGACAACTCCCCAGCTATTTTCAGCTGCCTTTTTGTGCGTTGATTGCTGTTGGAAGAATTCAAAATTTGTGTTGGCCCAGATTTTATAAGAGGATCAATATAGACTCCATTTTCTGAATTCTGATTGAAATCGGAAGTCGTATATAAAGGTAATAAAGAAGCGTAAAGGGATTTTTTTCGCTCTTCACAAGACGTTCGCCCGCTTTTATAGCTTTCGTCTGGGATTATTCTTAAAGCTCCTTTGGATGGCCTAGAAAATTTTGATGTTAGATGTTAGACTTTTGTTTAGCATGCTATGTCTAGCCACATACCCTTCTTGAGTAGGTTCTCTTAGTAAATTATTCTCCATTCCTGTTGATTCTTCTTCTCGCCTATTTCTGCATTCTTCTGTACTGTGATGCAGCCTTTGTAAAATATTTTTTACTTTGCGACGTTCAACGGTTTCACTAAGCTCTGGACTAAGAGGCAAATATGCGGGGGGGTATGTAATTTTCTGCCTTGTGATTGCAGGTAGTGGACATAGATGTATTCGTAGAAATGGATGAACTAGACTCATGTTCTGAAAAAAACTGCGAGTAAATATCAGAAGCGTCACTCAGACACCGATATAACGGCTTCGCTGCAGCTATTTGTTTGCTCGTTTTAGAACTATCCAAACTAGAACTTCGTATTTGAAGAGCCTTTTCAAGGTCGGCCAATTTTTGGCGTTCATTTAAAATTTTCAACTGTTTTACAAATGGCAATCCACTATACTCGGGCGATAAGTCGAAAACAGAGTGATACAATTTTTTACAATCCCTGGTTTTCTTTGCAGAGATTGCTCTATTGTGCTCCCGTAAGTTTTCTAAACTTTTATTGAATAGAGAATTGGGATCAAGACTTGCGGCTGTTGTGGATTTCAGGTCCCTTGTAGGGGTTGAAGAAAATGCTGGTATTTGAATCAATTTCTTCGAAGAAAAGGTTTTTACTTCTAAGTCGGAGTCTCCTGGGGAAAATTTTGCTAAATTGTTAGAGCTTGTTGACAATAAAGTAGCTAACTTTAGCTTAGACCATGGTTTAGTAGATAAATCACTATATGAGCGCTCCGATGAGGTGTATATGGACGGTTTGAATGACTTTCCTGATACCGCTTTATACGATTCATCTATATCGTCTTGGTTGCTTCGGACGTGCTTTCGCTCTCCGCGTGCATGCAACGAATCTGATTGACATACGTTTTCCACAATTAATTTGTCGTTATTTGGTTGGTGTTCCAAGGAATCTGGCTTCGCAAATCCACCAATTTGAAGCATTTGAATCTTCTGCTTCAGAGATACAGCCGGATTAGATTTCAGCTGTTTAAAGAGAGATAATAAATAATTTTTGTGCGGTTTGATCATTTAAATTTGGAGGAAATGCAGTAGCAAATTATACACAAGTAATTGGTATATAATAAAATTAAGATGCAGTAATTGTTTAGATTAGGCATTGGTTGGGTAGAATATTATTATGGTTCAAAATTCTGCGTTTGAAATTCTGTATTCAAAACTCTGTATAGCTAAGTTCCGTATTTTAATATCCTTTATGGCATGATTCGTATGGAAAAATTGGAAACTCATATAGAATTTTGTAAAACAAAATATTGGCAATACACTTATCTTCTTTATCCATAGGTTTTCCGATTTTTTAATACAGAATATCATAATGCAAATACACATGTACGGTGGCAACCATGTATCACAAAATAACAACCCTGTACGAAGTGGTGTAGAAGAGTAAAAGCAACGATTGACAGATATCATCAGAAGTCGCCAGCGTTCAGCAGCAACAGTCGCTGTTTTTTCAACCCTAAATTTCTTGTAATCTAAATTTTTTAATCTTAATATTCAATTTAATTGATATCACGATGCAGAAAATGAAGGGGGCGAATTTCCACACATTCGCTGACGTCACAAACTCCTTTTGTTTACATTCACTGTTGCCAACTTGGTGCTTTGTGCACTAAATTTAATGCGTATTCAAAACGTGAAAATTTTTGGGTAGTGCTTGGTGCATTTTTAGTGCTTTTGTTTTTAGTTTGAAGATACCAAATTTGTAATGCTTAAGAAAATTTATAGCAATCGTAAATGTCATAAGCATACAAAAATGGAAACAAAATCATGGCACAATGAAAATCATAAGCGAGAGAGCATATGTTTGCCAGCAGAATATGTGATAGCACCTTCAATCATGCCGAAACATTGATTTTTATTAATTTGAATCGGCATTCTTCCAAGAAAATTTTTTATGCATACAAAGTCCATTAAATACACCAATAAAAATTTGGTGCTTTTTCATATTAAAAACTTGGCAACACTGCCTTTTGTTCGATTCTTCCTCTTCTTCTTCTTGAGTTCGTTTTAGCTCTCTAATTATGGTATTTGATGACGTCACGCCCAGTTGCTCTCAGCTCGATTGACGCAATCTCGTATTCTATCATTCTTGAATTGATATCTTACATATATATAAAAATAAGTGCACGTTTTGGGTGTGACCTCATTACTTGACAATATTGTGCATACTTACAAGTAAAAAAAGAGTCAGATGTTTTCCCGAAATGCCTCACAGCTGATTCTATGTGCTACAGGGTTACACTCAATATATATAAAAAAAAAACTTTAAACGGACTCTGACAAAACTAGCAAGAAAAGTTCTATTAAGTTTAGGAGTCATTGACCAAAATGCTTTAATATATTAAACTGCTATATAAAAATAGGAATTCATTTAACTCAATGCATATTTGGCCAATTTTTAAGGTTATTTCAATAATTCTCATTTTCGTTGTTGGTGTTTCCGACAGGGTAGGAGTGTGATGTAATGTGGAACGATTTTCCGTCATCCCTTGTCAAATTTGGTTTGGAGACAAACCGGTTTCTGCGTTGCGCCATCTTCAGTGTAATTTTTCGTTCTGAATAGTTTCTGTTTGTCTGTCACTATTTATAGCCGTGTTAAATCGTCGTTGGTTCATAGTTAGGTAGGTCTCAGCGGATTATATTCTTTCGTTCAACCAGTAGTTTCAGTTCTGTGTGTACATCCTCAGGTAGAAATTAGCTGCTCACCTCTTTTTTGATTAATTGTTGCATGGATTCGCAGGTAGGTAAAAATCAGTTATTTTCTTTCTCTTTGTTTCTGTAGTTTGGACCTGCATTTCATTATTATTCGAACCACTCAGGCTACTATACGCAAAACAAAACAGAAACCCTGCAACTACCATAAACAATGAAAGTGTGAAGATTTCCCGAATTCGGAATAGGGGGCGTGGCACGACTCATACTAACTAAAATAAAAAATTAACCCAAATTGTCCCAGATTAATTTTTTTTTTAGATTTCTTTGGTTTCATCTACATATATACAGGGTAATAGTAGCGTTAAAGTAAAGGATCAAATATTACTAAAACTTTAGGAGTACAGTATAGTTGCGTTCCAGATGCTTCACGATATTCACGAAATTCACGATTTGCAGGAACAGCTGTTTTCTCCATTAATAAACCTTATGGGAGGTGGTCACCTGGAACGACTTCCTGTAAAAACCTGCAAATCGTGAAGCATCTGGAACGCAACTTATATTTTGCTTTGCTGCCTGTATGCTTAACCCAAATTGGTTCCGTGTTGCCCTATGGAAACCCAAAATACTTACATCATGTTTAAGAGGGTGTAAAACAAAAATCGCTTCCTTCAAAATGCTTATACTTATGTACGTTAACTAATTGCTAAAAGGTGTATCTTTCGAAACGCTTACACTTTCGTCAGATCCTTGCTGTCTATCGAGTGTAATACAAGTGTGTCCTTGAAACAAAATAAGAAGTGGCAGAAAAACAATCAAAATGTCATATATGAAGAAGTAAGCATAAATTTATAGAAAGTGTTTTTTTATTTACAAAATGTGACAGTGATAAAAAATTAGTTAAAACATTAGTGACTCTATTGGTAACAAGTAACAATAAAAACAATCGTCCAAGCTATTTAATTCAAGTGTTTTTTAAGTCCGTTGCCATATGGCAACACGGGACGTAATGTGAACTGTTCCTCTTTTTACCAAATTTTGATATGTTCGCTAGCCCAAATTGACCCCGTGTTGCCATAGGGCAACGCAAAATACCATCATGTATGAGACGGTGTAAAATAAAAATCGGTTGTATGTAATTTTGCAGTTTTGCAGGTGGTTAACTCATTCCATCTAGGCCTGAACTGTCTAATCATATTATCGTATATTTTATTGTACAAGTGTTGAAGTGGTACACAAATGTAGTTTGTCTGTTCCAGGGCAAACTGGTGGCGTTTTTGTCAGTCTCATCTGCTATTTCATTACCCAAGATTCCCTTGTGACCGGGCACCCAATATATATGCAGGCTTCTATCAGCGTCTAGCTTGTCAATGGCTTCCCGGCTGCGAAGAACGTTTATGGATGAAATACTATATGGGGAAACTGCCTTAATTGCCGCCTGGTATAGGTTTAATTTTGAATTGATTGGCGATTCGGTGTAGGCTAGCTCTGCAGCTATCCTCATTGCGAAAACCTCTGCTTGAAATATGCTGCAATGGCTAGGTAGCCTTACTGCCCGCCTGACGTTCAGTTCCCGGCAGTAAATCCCGGCACCCACCCCCGTAACCATTTTAGAGCCGTACGTGAAAATGTTTAGAGATCTATGACTAGGTTTCATTCTCTTGCGCCATCCCTACTCCTCAATCGTTGTGCAAAAAGTTCGTTTCCACTTAAAGCTAGGTGCCATGAAGTCGGTGCTGCTGTGCTTTCCGCCCCAATTAAGCTGTGCCCAAAGGTTCTGAAATTTAATTTCCCTATGGCCGTCAATCTACTTGAGGATTTCGCGGCATGGTTTTCCGAAAATTGGCCAATTGGCAGAAAGCGAGGATTTTTTAAAGAACGGCCGTTGAAGTGGACCTCAGCGCTCCCGCGAGGTACAGTGCCGCGAGGCGCTGAACCTTCTCCATGGCCCGAGGCATAAGGACTTTTTTGCGGCATTACAGCACACTATAAAGAAGTATTGGTATGAATATTGCTGTGTAGCACCAATGCATCAGGGCAGGTGGCAGACCCCCAGTAACTCCCAGCATTCCTTTACATGCATAGAGGGTGTTACTGGCCTTTTTCTCCCTTTCCTCAACATTGCACATCCACAGCAGCTTACTATCCAAGACTACTCCCAAATACTTTGTGTGGTCTTTAATTGACAGCTCGATGATACCTAGCCCCGGAGGTCTCCACTTTGGGACCTTATATCTTTTTGAGACTACATCACTGACCCATACAAATTGAAAAAAAAACTTGGTTGTGCTGTTGCAGCATGTAAAACTATAGGACAAGTAGCCTGTGCAAAATGTGATGTGGGTTTATGTTTGAAATATTTTGCTACTTTTCATACTAAAAATTAACTACTTCATCCGCTTTGTACGTAGAATATGCATATATTATCAATAAATGTATTAAAACTTATAAATAATGTTTTTATTATTTCATATTTTAACCAAATACTGTCCTCTAAAAATCCATTTGGAATACACCCCGTATTGCCATGTGGCAACGGCCAATAACTGAAGAACTATACTACAGTATATTTTGCTTTGCTGCACATCAATCTTTGCACGAAAAACTTGTGCGCTTCACCGAAAAAAGCACTTAAGCGACTTTTCTTTACTACTTCAATGAGGAAGGTATCCGAATCCCTATGAAACCAAATAATGGAAGAGCACTTACCACGTAGAAATTATTGCAAGCGAAATTTTTTCCGAATGGTATCTAATTATCTATATAACTTCATAGAATTATAGCCGCTTTCGTTGTTCTCCTAGATGAGCAAAATAAATATAAGCTTGTAAATCTAGGGTAAGTGTAGAGCCAGTGCAGGTAAACGTAATACTTTCTTTGATAATTGATAATAGTTGCAAATTTTTAAGGTAGATATCGCTAATGTGCAGGTATGTTGAATGCACCTATCGGAGCAGTTTCCTTATAAATGTTAAAAATAATGCCGCTGATTCGCATTTTGGGGTAGGTATCTTAAATGTGCACTTAAAACCTTATTAAAAGCAAAACATGTTTGCGAACTGCAAAAAAGAACGTTCGGAAATGCATCACCAAAAAAAATGTTTTCGAATAACGGAATAACAAAAAAAATCATCAAATGCACCCTGCGAATTTGCAACCTTGTGCATGCGTTTTCTTTTTGTAGCACTGCGCCTAAAAATGCACAAAGGCTGCAGCAGAAAAGCAAGGAACTACGCGATGCTCTATTGCACAGCATGGTACGGTTGTTTACAAATTTCCAAATTGTGTATTGCGGCAGAACAATTTTTAAT